GGAGGAGGGAAAAAGCCACAACTGAGATATCCTCTCGGCTTGCTTCTCTGTGTTTTCTTGGTCTTCTGGAACTCAGAAAACAACTGGACAGAGTCTCCAGTAGCAACTGCTGAACAGGCTCCTGTTACTCTTTTTTCTGTGGTTTTTAAATGGCTTCTTGTCACGTAGGCTTTATCCTTTCCAAACAAAATTCCTCTTTTTGCCAACTGTCAGTTATCTCTTTGGGGCAGTTTGTCAGTTGAGCTGTTGCATTATCTTCTTGGTCACCTTCGTTCCACACCTGGGGAGTGCCTGCAACACCAACTGTCACCTTGATTCAATGCTGGTTTTTCCCTCATTGGGTCTTCTCCTTTTCTTACTTATACATCCATCCATCCGTCCGTCCATCCATTTTCCTCCGCTTATCCGGAACCGGGTCGCGGGGGCAGCAGTCTAAGCAAAGATGCCCAGACTTCCCTCTCTCCAGACACTTCCTCCAGCTCCTCCAGGGGAAAGCGGAGGTGTTCCCAGGCCAGCCGAGAGACATAGTCCCTCCAGCGTGTACTGGGTCTTCCCCGGGGCCTCCCTCATACTTATACATTTCTTTTTAAATGTAAAATCACTTTAATTAATTTTTCAATATAATAATTTCTCATTTTAGCTTTATACATTTGAATACTACTTGTTGTAAACAGAGTACACATAAAGCATCTTATGATTATCTTTACTTACTAAATATCTTAATTTCCTACTTTATGCCTTTTAGCTCTTTAATTATTCTCTCTTCTCAAACTCCTCTTGCTGTTTTTGTCTTTCTCCTCAAAATCCACTTCTTGCTTCCACTCATCCATGACCAGATATTCTGCATTTTCCTCCATTTCTTCATTCTCTTCTTGCCACAGGTCTGCCATTTCCTCCTCCGTCGGTCCAGGTGTGATGGGGGAATACAAGTTTACTATTAACTCCTCCATATACTCTTCCTGCACCTGGATAGTTTTTGTCACTGGCAGGCTTTCCTTCGAGTCGAGTAACACTTTTCCATTTTTATCTGGCCTGTCTGTTGTCTTTTTATACTCTGCCTCCTTAAACAGTGGGCATTGCAGTATTTCTTCCAAATACTCTTGTTGTTCCTGTGGGACTTCTAGCTGTAAAGAGACAATCTGTTTAATGGCCTCTTGTAGCTCCTCCTGTAAGGTAATTTCTGATACCGGATTGTCAAAGGCTGGCACTGCTGGGACTTTTCCAAACTCCCTCCGGGACTCGTTTTTACAGCTCCACTGACAACATCAATCATGATAATCCATTAATATCATCCAACTTTAGAGTTGACTTGACCTCACTGTGGGCTTCCAGCTGGACAGATATTGAACAGAGATGTGACTGTTAAACCGTGAACAGAGCTGGATGCTGCTCAGTGGATCCTGACAGCAACAACAGCAGAGTGAACTGAGACAACAATAATCATCACACAGAATCAGAACCATTTTACTGAACTGGGGCCCGTTTCAAGGAGGTTTAACAAACTCAGAGTTCAAACCTGAACTCTGAGTTGACTTACACAGAGTTGGAAAACTTGGAGTTTTCGGTTTCAGAACAGCTGAAAAGAGTTGGTTTAATCAACTCTGAGTAGGTTGACTCAGAGTTAGGCGCGTGCAGCGCGACTATAAAAAGCCCTGAACAATGGAGTGAAGAAATTACGAGTCACCATGGCAACAGGACCAAGCCAAAATAGGTCTGCGTTTTTCCCCGACAGAAATGGATGTGCTACTACAAGCATATAGTGACTACGAGCCCATATTCCGTAAGAGAAGCAACACGGTTGCAGCGGCGAAAGAGAGAGAGTTAGCTTGGGGGAAAATAGCTGCCGGAGTCAATGCGTAAGTTTACATTTTAATCATACAGTGGTCGGTGTAAGTAATTACTAAATAATGTTAGTAATGTTATTATTTGTCACTTGTAAAGTAAGGAATGGTTCTTAATTCTTCAATAATTGAATGAGTAACTTCAGTAATTGCATAAAATACCGATTTTTGTACGAATTAAAAGTGCAGTTTTATGTCTACCCTTGCTTAAAATTCCTATTGTGGTTGATATGGGATTTGTAAAGTAATGATTAATAAATAATCCAGTACGTTTTATGGAGAGTAATTATTACATTAATCAAAACACTTTTTTAAAATTGACCCAACACTGATGTAATAATATAAGAATTGAATTTTAATTTTCATAGAGGTGCATGGATGGGAATATGTGTCCCATCAATGCATCCAACCACATTAGGAAATCCTGAAGGGGATTCTAATTATTAGTTTATTTCCAGAGGTCACAGCAAGATGTTATTAACTGATCATCATTTTTCAGATTAGCCTTACTGAAACGAATTCAATACCACTAACCTGCAATCCTGTGAAACTCCTCTTTAATGGCTCTGAGGGGTTTGTGCCCAGGAAACACAACAAAAAATAACAGAAAGCGCTTGAGGGTGAGGCACACTTTCCGAACTATTCTACATACTGTGGCCTTACTAATGTGCTCTGCATCCCCGATGTTATAAAGAAAACTACCGTTTGCAACAAATCGTAACGCAACACAAAGCATCAGCTCGGATGTAAGAGCACGGCCACGATGGGTGATGTGTCTGATGTATGGGTGGATAAGATTATTGATATATGTTATGGACTCTCTAGAAAAACGGTACCGCTCAAATAAAAATACATGGGGATATGACAAAAAATCAACTCGTGCCCTCAATATCCTCTCCCGACGTAAATGCAATTCCCTGAAAATTAATACAGCGTCCTCATCTACAGGATCCTCTATGAATGGACACGCCATTTTGGTCTCTGCGTGACAGAAACGTGTGCAATCTATGAATGTACAACAAAACCTGCTCCCAACCAGGTTAGGTTCACAGAGTAAGTTGCCATAGTAACTGACTCTGAGTTTAGATTACCTCTCTTTTTGAAACGGGTTTAACTTACCCCGCTTTCACGGGTTTAAGTTACCTCCGTTTCTGGAACCGAAAACTCAGAGTTTTCCTTATTTCGGGGTTAACAAACTCAGAGTTTCAACAAAACCTCCTTCTTGAAATGGGCCCCTGGTAAAATGTTGATGGTCAAAGTGATGAAATTAGACAAATGAGTGTTTCGTGTCTGAGTCAGACAGGTCTGCTTCACAGTGCAGAGTGTGTGATGGTGAAGAGAGTGAACTTTGATCTCAGCAGCTGATCTTCAGTCAGAGTTTCTGTACACAGGAGACTCTCACACCTACACACCACACAGAGACACTGAGGAACCAGGCCAGATGCAGAACCCAGGATAAAGAGGTTCAGTGAATGTGGTGCTGAAGGTGTGGAAGTGGATCAGTGTGTCAGAGGAGATTGTGTAGAAGGACAGAGTTCCAGCAGGACAGTCCACATACACTGCTACTCTGTGAGACACTGAGGAGGAGGAGGAGGAGGAGATGGATGTAATGTTCTTATTGTGACAGACAGAGTAACCGTGATCAGAGCAGAACAGACTCCAGGACTTATCATTCCATCCAAGCACACAGTCATCACTGCCTCCTTTCCTCTTGATTCCTCTGTAACTCATTGATATTTCAACCTTTCCTCTTAACTCCACCTCCCAGTAACAGCGACCAGTCAGGCCAGTTCGACACAGCAGCTGAGACCAGTGGTCAAATCTGTCTGGATGATCAGGATATGACTGATCCTCCTCCACCCCTGTCACCTTCCTGTTGTTGTCAGACAGTCGTAGTTTTCTGTTCACTGTGTTTGTGTCCAGTTCCAGTTCACAGAAATCTGATGGAGAGAAAAGACACAGCTGCAGTTTATCACCTGTTGGTGTATGAACAACTTTACTGACAATTACTGAGAGGAAATCATTCACACTGACATTTCCTATTCACTCTGACTCATGTTTGGCTCCATTCAAACTGAAATGTGACAATCCAGTTACACCAACATGAGCAGTGACTTAACATGAGATGCCAGATGTTTCCTGCTGTGGCACAAGGAGAGCAGCTAATGGAGATCCACATAAAAAACACAAGGACTGAATCACGTCTCACTTATCAACCTGGCTCATCATCTTCAACTGCAGCACAGAGCAGCTCTGAACCAGCTGCTTTCTACAACTTTGATCAGCTCCACCAACAAACTGCTGAAGTACGAGCTTACGAGCAGCACCTGAAGGCAACACGGCTCTTCTATAATATCACTGACAGAAGAAACAAAGTTGGCTTCTGCTGGCTCCACTGTTAATCACATGTATTGATTAGTGTTGGTGGGTCACTGTGTTCACTGTTTTTGTGTCTGTGGATTTTAAACCGACTGACTGAATTCTAACATGTTTCCAGCCACGTGGACAAACATCAGAAGCTAAATCCTGAATGAAACTCTGTAGAGACTCATCTTTGTCCTTCAGTCAAGGAAATGTCCACATCTAGTGGAACATGTGCAGCTGGGTTCTCAGGAATCAAACTTAGACACACTCACACTTCCTCAGACCACGTCTCAGTCTCTGCGGCCCACCATGGTCGACCCTGGAGGAAGAGACAGTCAGTGTCAGACACCTTCACTCACATCCACCGTTAAACATGGACCAGAGTTCCCCTGTCAGTCAGAGACACAGTGTGAGAGCTGCTGCTGTCTGTGGTCAGTCTGAACCCGAGAGAGTCTGGTTTGTGGTCTGTCTGTACCCAAGAGAGTCCAGTCTGTGGTCTATCTGCACCCAAGAGAGTCCAGTCTGTGGTGTGTCTGTACCCGAGAGAGTTTGGTCTGTGGTCTGTCTGTACCTGAGACACTCCATTCTCCAGTGTGGATCCTCCAGTCCAGCCGACAGCAGCTTCACTCCTGAGGCTCCTGGATGGTTGTAGTTCAGATCCAGCTCTTTCAGATGGGAGGGGTTGGAGCTCAGAGCTGTGGCCAGAGAAGCACAGCCTTCCTCTGTGACCAGACAGCCTGACAGCCTGAACACACACACAGTCATGTTTCCATCACTTCACAGGACAATACATTGACTTACAGTCATTTCCTGAAGAGGTATCATCACCTGAAGCCAGATCTACACCCTGAATTGTACTGATGTCTGTTCTGGGGATTCATATACACACACAGGTTGTGACTTTCAGTTTAAACTCTCTGCATCAGTGGGTCTTTACATGTTTAGCAGTGCAGCTGCCCTCTGAGGACCAAAACATTGTGACATCCCCACTTGTAAAGACACAGTTTAGTAGTGGATAATGCTGTAGTCAGCAGTTTAAACAGCTCATTTAAACAGGGGGCAGCCTTTTACATTTAACTGTCTGTTCTGAGCTGCAGTAATGGAATCAAAGTGTCAAAGCATCGACACTGTCAGGAATCCTGTCCTTGTTCTTAAAGCTGCACTTTAACCATCTAAACCACTGCTGTTCTGTTCAAAGCCATGAAATGTGCCTGAGTCCACATCCCAGCGCTTCAGGGTCTTTATATATGCCAGCCGTCCCTTCAGCCTCCCCCCCAGCCCCAAATGAACAGGAAACTCCTCAGCTGGCTGGACAGGCCTGACTCAGTGTGGCAGGTGCATCTGTGCTGAGCCAGGTCTCAGTCAGAACATGACCATCCAGGTTCTGATCACTAATCCAGTCACCGATACTAAATGATGAATTGCTGCATAATGGCCTCATGTCATAAAGGGCCACATGTCTGTCAGAAATGCTGAGAAATGATGAACAGAGAAGGCCCCAGAAATCCTCTGCTTCTTCTCTTTTAGCTGTCACCATCTGTTTCAGTCAACAGACTGTATATTCCAGTGCAGCTGCTCACATGAACTTAAGATCAGACACTGGGATTTACTCAGTGAGGCAACAGAGCTAAAGAAATCATAACTTTTTGATCAATAAAAATGTTATGAGCATTCAACTTGAACGACGCAGTAGAGGAATGAACACCCTGTAACCTGACCTGAGAGTTTCCAGTTCACAATGTGGACTCCGCAGTCCAACAGACAACAGCTCCACTCCTGAGTCCTGCAGGTCGTTATTACTCATGTCCAGGTGTGTCAGACTGGAGGACTGGGAGATGAGAACTGAGGACAGGACTTCACAGCTTCTCCCTGACAGGTCACAGCCACTCAGTCTGGAGACAAACCAGCACAACAATAGAAACCAGTCAGTTAATACTCAGTTCATATATATAATATCAATAAATGCTTAATGGGTAAACTTGTAAAAATTTGCTAGAAACTGACCTGAGAGTTTTGAGTTCACAATGTGGACTCCCCAGTCCAGCAGATAACAGCTCCACCCCTGAGTCCTGCAGGTTGTTGTTACTCAGGTCCAGGTGTCTCAGACTAGTGGACTGGGAGCTGAGAACCGAGGACAGAGCTTCACAACTTCTCTCTGACAGGTTACAGCTGCTGAGCCTGGAGATGAATTAGTTAGTTAACACTCAGGTCAAATATATAAAATCAATAAAAATTTCAAGGGTAAACTTGTAAAAATTATTTAGAAACTGACCTGAGAGTTACGAGTTTACAGTGTGGACTCCCCAGTCCAACAGACAACAGCTCCACTCCTGAGTCCTGCAGGTCATTGTTACTCAGGTGCAGGTGTCTCAGACTAGAGGACTGGGAGCTGACATCTGAGGACAGAGCTTCACAGCTTCTCTCTGACAGATTACAGTCACTCAGCCTGGGGAGAAACCAGCACAACAATAGAAACCATTTACAAACATTAGCTGTTTGTCTAGACTAAAGACAAAGATCAACTTAACCTTGACTGTTCTATGTGCACATACAGAGCTTTGTTGGAGGCTCTCACCACAGGCAGCAGCCTCAGAAGAACCTCCTCTGAAGCAGGGTATTTCTTCATCTCAGGTGGCCGCCTCAGAAGAGCCTTCTGTAAAGCAAAGAGATTCTTCAGCTGAGGCAGCAGCATCAGAAGAGCCTCCTCTGAAGCAGAGTATTTCTTCAGGTCAAACACGTCCAAATCTTTGTCTGATGAGAGTAAACTGAAAACCAGAGCTGACCACTGAGCAGGTGACAGTGCCGCTGTGGAGAGGCATCCTGATCTCAGGGACTGTTGGACCTGCTCCACTAGAGACCCATCATTCAGTTCATTCAGACAGTGGAACAGGTTGATGCTTCTCTCTGGAGACAGATCCTCACTGATCTTCTTCTTGATGTACTCGATGGTTTCCTCATTGGTCTGTGAGCCACTTCCTGTCTGTGTCAGCAGGCCTCGTAGGAGAGTCTGATTGGTCTGCAGTGAAAGACCCAGGAGGAAGCAGAGGAACAAGTCAAGGTGTCCATTTGGACTCTGTAAGGCCTCGTCCACAGCTCTCTGATAGAAGAGTGTTGATTTGTTTGTGAACACTTCAGACCTAGAGGATGTAGTGTGTTCTTCTGCCAGCAGATTGACTCCAGAGGTGATGAAGGTCATATGGACATGAAGAGCAGCCAGAAACTCTTGAACACTCAGATGGATGAAACAGAACACCGGGTCCTGGTACAGTCCTTGCTGCTCTTTAAAAATCTGTGTGAACACTCCTGAGTACACGGAGGCTGCTCTGATATCGATGCCACACTCTGTCAGGTCTGACTCATAGAAGATCAGGTTGCCTTTCTGCAGCTGCTCAAAAGCCAGTTTTCCCAGAGACTGGATCATCTCCCTGTTCTCTGGACTCCAGTGTGGATCTGTCCCAGCTCCTCCATCATACTTGACCTTCTTCAGTTTGGTCTGAACCACCAGGAAGTGGATGTACATCTGAGTCAGGGTCTTGGGCAGCTCTCCTCCCCCTCTGGTTTCCAGCACATCCTCCAGAACTGTAGCAGTGATCCAGCAGAAGACTGGGATGTGGCACATGATGTGGAGGCTTCGGGAGCTCTTGATGTGGGAGATGATCCTGCTGGCCTGCTCCTCATCTCTGAACCTCTTCCTGAAGTATTCATCCTTCTGAGGGTCAGTGAACCCTCTGACCTCCGTCACCATGTCCACACACTCAGGAGGGATCTGATTGGCTGCTGCAGGCCGTGTGGTTATCCAGAGGTGAGCAGAGGGAAGCAGGTTCCCCCTGATGAGGTTTGTCAGCAGCACATCCACTGAGGTGGACTCTGTGACATCAGTCAGGACCTCAGTGCCATGGAAGTCCAGAGGAGGCCGACACTCATCAAGACCGTCAAAGATGAAGATGACCCGGAACTCTTCAAAGCTGCAGATTCCTCTGGTTTCAGTAAAGAAGCGATGAACCAGTTCCACGAGGCTGACCTTCTCTTTTACCAGATTCAGCTCTCTGAAAGTGAATGGAAATGTGAAGTGGATGTCCTGGTTGGCTTTGCCTTCAGCCCAGTCCAGTGTGAACTTCTGTACTAAGAGTGTTTTCCCAATGCCAGCCACCCCCTTTGTCAGCACTCTTCTGATTGGTCCATCTCTTCCAGGTGGGGGTTTAAAGATGTCTTCTTGTCTGATGGCTGTTTCTGGTCTGACTGGTTTCCTGGATGCTGTTTCCATCTGTCTGACCTCATGTTTATCACTGATCTGTCCAGTCCCTCCCTCTGTGATGTAGAGCTCTGTGTAGATCTGATTCAGAAGGGTTGGGCTTCCTGGTTTAGCAATCCCCTGAAACACACACTGGAACTTCTGCTGCAGCTTCTGCTTCAGTTTATGTTGACAGACTCCTAAGTGAACAAACAAGAAGTTAAATCAGTGAGTGGATCCTTCATAAAGTCACAGACTCTAAACATGTCAGTGTGTGTAGAGTTTGTATCATCAGTGGAGACAAACAGCCTGTGGTCTGATGCAGATGTGCGCAGCATATCTACAGCAGAGTGTGTCAGTGGAAACCTCTCCCATTTCACCTCCACTTCCTCTTTCCACCATGTTAAACCTGTTCAAACCCTCTTACTGCTCTGCAGATGCTCAGCCAGCTCCTCCTGCTTCATCTTCCTCAGGAAATTCACTGTGATCTGCAGAAATGACTCTCTGCTGCTCCTCCTCTGCTCTTTGTCTTCACTGCCCAACTCATCCTCATCCTCCCTCTGACTCTCTAAGCATTCCGGGTAATCTGGACTCAGGGCCCTCTGGATCTTCTTCAGCTCGTTCTTCACAAAAGTGACCATGTTCTCCTCCAGCAGCTGGAACAGAATGAGAAACTGACCAATGAAGTGTAACTGATTGAACCCAATATTTGATTCATGTTTCGGTCTGAAGGCTGCTGGTCTGAACACAGCAGCATGGAGTCTGTCAGGACCTGACTGGGTGTTTAGCATTCACTCTGTGTGCTTCCTATGACAAAGTGTGAGTCTACATATACGCACCATAAATATGGAGTCCAGGTCTGGCTGATGCTGTGCCGACTGATCACTGTGAACCTCTGAGCTCTGCTGCTGAACTCTGGGGAGGAAACAGACTTGAAGGAAAAGCCAGGACTCACATCTGACACAACTTATTAAAGGTTACTGATGAGGTCAGACTCCTGCAGTGCTGACATGATGACAGCAGGCAACTGGCAGACAACTGGGTCAGGAGTCAAGAGGGAGAACATCATGACCAGCTTCAGTCTGTGCGGAAGAGTCATCATTAACATGAACAAATTGGAATCTTTCTGATAAATAAGATTTGAACCAACTTAGTGTGGTTCCTTTAATCCCAATAACGTTCAAGTCTCTGCAGCAAGATGCTGTGATCAGTGGTGTCAAAAGCAGCACTGAAATCTAAGAGGACAAGTATGGAGACAAGTCCTTTGTCCAAGGCTAGGAGAAGATCATTGGTGACTTTCACCAGTGCAGTTTCTGTACTATGATGACTCTAAATCCATCCTGACTGAAAATCCTCAAACAAATCATTCTTGTGCAAGTGGTCACATAACTGCTTAGCAACAGCTTTTTCAAGGATTTTAGAAATAAAGAGGAGATTGGATATTGGTCTATAGTTAGCTAGAACACCTGGGTCAAGAGTAGGCTTTTTGAGTAGAGGTTTAATTACTACAACTTTAAAAGCCTGTAGAACATAACCTGTTAATAGAGAGAGGTTAATGAGATCTAATAAGAATGTGTTGATTAGGGGCAAGACGTCTTTGAGCTGTCTGGTCGGGATGGGGTCCAGGAGACATGTTGATGATTTAGATGAAGCAATTGTTGAGGTCAACTCAGAGAGATCTATGGGGGAGAAGCAGTCTAAGTATAAATGAGGTCTGACAGATGTTTCTAAAGCCATTGTACTCAATGGCACATCCGTGAGAGTTGTGAGAATGATATGACCAATTTTTTTTTCTAATAGTTGTGATTTTATTTTGTAAAGAAGCTTATGAAGTCATTGCTGTTGAGATCTAAGGGAATGTTAAGGTCAACAGCACTGTGGCTCTTTGTCAGCCTGGCTACATTGCTGAAAAGAAACCTGGGGTTGTTCTTATTTTCCTCTATCAGTGATAAATAAAATGAGGTTCTGGCACTATGAAGGGCTTTTTTATATGTTATTAAACTATCTTTCCAGGCTAAGAAAAACTCTGACTTAGTGGAGCGCCACCTCCTTTCCAGTTTTTATGATGCCTGCTTTAGGGAGTGGAGCTGTGAGCTGTACCATGGGGCCTCCTCTGTTTCACTGCCTTCCTTTTCAGAGGGGCAACAGTAGCAAGTGTATCAAGGCTGTAGCGCTATCAACAAGATTATCGACTTGTGTGGGAGTAAAGTAAAGGTGGCCGCCCTCCATTGTGTTGGCAAATGGCACTGAAGTAAATAATGATGGAATTATTTCCTCAAACTTGGTAACAGCATTGTCAGATCGACATCTACTGTAGTGGAATTGTTTCCCACATAGAGTATAATCCATTAATGTAAATTCAAAAGTTATTAGAAAATGGTCAGAGAGAAGAGGATCTTGGGAAAAACTATTAAGTGTTCAGTTTCAATGCCAGATTTCAGAACAAGATCAAGGGTGTGATTAAAACAGGGACTGGATTTATTTACAGTTTGAGAAAAGCCAGTTGAGTCTAATAATGAATTAAATGCAATCTTGAGGCTGTCATTGTCAGCATCTACATGAATATTAAAATCACCCACTATGATTATTTTATCTGTACTAAGCATTAAATTAGACAAAATCTGAGAAGTTCAGTTAAAAACTCTGAATAAGGGGCAACTGGACTGTATACAATAACAAATAGAACTGGCTTTTGAGTTTTATAGTTTGGAAACATTAACAATGTGAAGCCTGCAATACACTCAGACAAAGCTGGGACAGAGACCTGTTTACTTCTGTGTTACATCGGCTTGCCTTTTAATTGCACTTTTTAATCATTTTCAAACTAACGATACTAATTGTTGCAGTTTTGTCCCATTCCTCTGTATACAAAACTTGAGCTGCTTAACAATCTGTGGTCACCGCTGTCTGATTCTCCTCTTCATAATGCTCCACACATTTTCAACAGAAGACAGATGTGGACTGCAGACAGGCCAGTCAAGCACACATACTCTGGGTCTACAAAGCCAGGCTGTTGTAGCATGTGCAGAATGAGGCCTGGTGTTATCTTGCTGAAATATCCGTGGACGTGGTAGCATATGTCTCTCTAAAATCTCAGTACACACCTTGGCATTTGTGGTGCCTTCACACATACACAACTCACCCATGCCATGGGCATTGTCCCACAACATCACAGATGCTGACCTTTGCACCATCACTGATAACATCCTGGATGGTCTTTTTCATCTTTGGCACAGAGAACTTGACATCTGTTTTTCCTGAAAACCAGCTGAAACGTGGACTCGTCTGACCTCAGAACACGTCTCCACTGTCTGTTGGTACATCAGAGATGAGCTTGGGCCCAGAGAACTCTGCGGCCTTTCTGCACAGGCCTGACATCTGGCTTCCTCTTCACATAATAGAGTTTCAGGTACATCTCTGGATGCAGCGGTGGACTGTGTTAAGTGACAAGGTTTTCCAAAGTGATCCTAAGCCCATGAGGCTGTACGGTAGCATGACGGTTTCTCATGCAATACCTCCTGAGGGCTCAAAGGTCCCACACATGCAACAGTGGTTTTGCCCCTTGGCCTTTACACACTGAGGTTTCCCCTGATTCTCCAAATCTTTTCACAGGATTATGAACTGTTAATGGTGAAAGAGCTAAATTGTTTGTAATGTGGTGTTGAGAAGTATTGTTGTTGAAGTGACTGACAATTCTCTCATGGAGTTTGGCACAAAGTGCTGCCACAGCCCATCCTTGACTGAAAAGAGGTGGATGCTCCTTCTATACCCAGTCAGGATCCCTTCACCTGTTACCAATTAGCCTGCTACTTTTGGAATAACACTGAAAACCTTTTCTTTGTAACTTAATTCTCTTGATCCTTTATTTAACTAACAAATTAAAGTTTTCATTGCATTTTGGAAAAGGTCCCAACTTTTCTGGAAATGGGGTTTCTAAATAAACTTGCTTTGCTTGAACATGAATGACAGACGCACAATGTTTCCACCATGTACAGGTTCTTAAACTACAAAACAAGAGTCGCTGAAGAGTTTTAACTCTGACACAATGCATGCTGGGAAGTCTGCTAGTTTTGTTTCTTATAAAACTTCATGTAATGAGGCGAGTGAACTTTCAGCAGTTCATTCATTCAAGTCATCACTTCATGTTGAAACAACTAGATATTCTAAGTTAAATTAACATGAAATTAAATCTACACATTTACATTAACAAGAAAATCTTAGTTGATTCCACTAATATCTGTCTGTGCAGATTTTCAGTCATCCAGGTCACTAATATCCACTAATATTCTTTCACCTGTGCAATATTGCAAAAATCAGGAGCATCCTGTTTCAAAGTGATGCTGAAAAACTGGTCCATGCATTTGTTACTTCCAGGCTGGACTACTGTAACTCTTTACTATCAGTATGTCCTAATAGTTCCATAAAAAGCCTCCAGTTAATCCAAAATGCTGCAACCAGAGTACTGACAGGAACTAGCAAGAGAGAGCATACTGTATCTCTCCCATATTAGCTTCTCTCCACTTGCTCCCTGTAAATTTCAGAATAGAATTTAAAACCCTTCTCCTAACATACAAAGCCCTTAATGACAAGGCTTCATCATATCTTAAAGACCTCATAGAGCCTTATCAGCCTAACAGAGCACTTCGCTCTCAAAGTGCAGGTTTACTTGTGGTTCCTAGAGTCCACAGAAGCAGAATGGGAGGCAGAGCCTTTAGCTATCAAGCTCCTCTCCTATGGAGCCAACTCCCAGTCTCAGTTCGGGAGGCGGACACCCTCTCTACCTTTAAGATTAGACTTAAGACGTTCCTTTTTGATAAAGCTTATAGTTAGGGCTGGATCAGGTGACCCTGAGCCTTCCCTTAGTTATGCTGCTATAGGCCTAGGCTGCTGGGGGCCCCATGATGCTCTGAGTTTCTTTCCCCTCCCCTCCCCTC